ATAACCAATTTGATAAAAACCCGGAAACGAAATCGAAAATGAAAGGCAATTCAAATCTTAAACAGACTCAAAACTGAAAGCAAATGTTACTCGAATTAACGGGTTTTAATTAACAAATGCAGATCTAAATGCTTTTAAGCAGTTCGAAGAATATGATTAACAAAGAAATGGATTGACACTAAAGAAATAGAGACCCGTAAATTATTTATTCATTAACAGAAAAAACTAAAAAATATATAAGAAAATCCAAGAAAAATACAACAATCCATCCTTTGAATGATTCGATTGCATTAAATGAAAAGATAATTCAAATGAAATGAAATCTAGCTTCAGAGATCGAACTGGTTTCCCAGGTACGGAGTTTGGGACGACAAGGAGAGTTCCTGGCTAAAGGAAAGTTTCTACACTTGTTTTTTTTTTTTATTGGGTTGTTAAAGAAGAATTGGGCTTTCGCACTGAAAATGAAAAGAAGATTTTTAGCCCACATATTATAATGCCCCAATGGGCCTGCTTGTATCCACAAGGAGAGTTCCTCTTCTTTTTTTTTTTCCTGAGATGTTGACTTTTCCTAGATTAATGAATGAGGAAAAAATAAGAATAAAAAAACAAATGATAAAATCAGCTGACCATAAAAGACAACACCTGTGATTCTAAAATAAACAACGGCAAATAGTAATCAGCAATGGAGAGAGTTCAAAAAAAAAAAAAACAAAGACAAAGTCAAGATCATCTAAAAATAGACGACAAAAAAGTCAACAAAATACCTATGGAAACACAGAGAAAGCTCAGCACATTCGGAGGAAGGAAAAAAGAGTTTTAGAGGCTGCAGAAACCTTAGACCAGGCCACAATCATGGAGAAGGAGACCATATGTGTAAACCTAAACCCATACAGCCCTGTACGAATGGCTGCAAAGCAAGGAGCATTTGAAAAAGAGAGTAGGTAATGCAAATATAATTAGAAAAAGTCAATACAGAAGCAACCAAAAACAAAACAAAGAGCAAAACCATATTGTAAAGAAGAACGAGCTGGAAATAAAGAAGAAAATGCAAAAGGGTGGTGGGTCAGTAAAAGCAGACAATAGGGGAAATAGGTTGTAAGAAGAAAAGGGAAAAGGCATTCCTTAAAAAAATAGTAACAAAGCCACATGATGCTAAAGGCAATGGACAAACCTGTAACAGAAATTAGACAGGAATCAAGATCTTAGACTGATGGGAAACTCATAAATCATTAACTAAAAAAAACACCAACCAAAAGAGGAGGGGAAGAACAAGGTGCACAAGAAGAAGCAGGAGGAATCTTACATCAAGATGGAAACTTGTTTCAACCTCATTAACTAACTAACAACAAAGAACATCCAATTGTTTGAGGTAAAAGAAAGGACTGTATGCTTTGATACCCGATGATCCCAAAGAAACAAGTTACAGAGCAAAAACAATTCTCTCCTAGCTTTAGCTGTTGTGAGGTAATAGCGGTCATGACAAGAAGATATAGACAACCAACATTGATGGCAGCTTTTCATTGAAGATTTGCTGTGTTTTGATCGAATCAACTATAAATGGAGGGGATCTTTACTTTCAAACAAATGATTGGTTGAAGAATTGTCCCTAAAAAACCCCATCCAATGCTTCATTTAGCTAGTTTTGATCGAATCAACTATAAATGGAGGAGATCTTTACTTTCAAACAAATGTTTGGTTGAAGAATTGTCCCTGAAAAACCCCATCCAATGCTTCATTTAGCGAGTTATTCAGAATAAACTCAATATAAAGAGTTTCTTACTTCATCAATGTTTAGTGCAGGAAACTCAAGCAACTTGTAACTTTTATGGTATAGCTATTAAGAACACTGATCATTATTTCATTCATTGCAATTTTGTTTGGAATATTTGAATGAGAATTCTATTTTGATGGAGATTTAGTGGATATTTTCCTAAGTGCTTGGATGATATATTATATTAATCATCTGTGTTAATTATTAAAAATTTAAAAAAAAGGCTTGACAGTTTTTTTGTTTTGCACAACTTGGAATATATAGCTAGTCCACAATAATATTATCTTTCAAGAAAGTACTGTAAATCTTGATTCATGTTTTAGTTTATTTTTTCATTATTTTTTTTTATTGGTTGAAGTTCTATAATTACCAATTCATGCATTCAAGATTCAATTTGTATATTTAGGATATGATCTTTTAATCAATACAAATGATATTAAGTTTTTAAACAAACCAAAAATTTATTTTTTTTTGTTTTCTTTTTTTTATATCTCAATGTAATTTTTTTTTAAATGACTGTTGTCTAAATAGCCATATTTTAGTAAAATCAATGATTATAAAGAAATAGTAATTATGAATTGTACGTGTTTTTAGTAAAGCATCTATAAAAAAAAGTTGATATTGATGAAATCATGACAACTTTTGGATTCAGTCTTTTATGGTTGTAATTTTAAACTAATGAAATAACTAAGTTTAACCCTGATCAAGTGAACACTTATTTAAAAAACAAGTTTTTTTATGAAATAAAGGATTGTCTAATATTTAATATAGTAAATGTAGGATAAGAAATAACATATATAGGAAAAAATAATGCAATATATAGTAACATATATATTATTTAAAAAGTGGAGAAAGCTTTATGTTAAAACATTGTGCAGGAATATGTTTGAGGGATGGATATTTTTATTAAAGACATAGAAACCCATATAGAGACATTGAGAATTCAATGAGCATCCCTTTTATTCCTTTCCTTTCCTTTTTTTTTATTAAAAATAAAAAACAATTTTAAAAGTAATAATTATAACAATATCCCTACAATTCATTTTGTTTATGCAAACTCATATTCTTATCACAGTTGTTTAAGTGATCAAGTTATTGTTAACCATCAATGTTTAATTTTTTTTTTATGTACTCCATCTCTTTAATGAAAGAAAAGATATTTACAGAGTAAGAAAATCATATTTTCAAATTAAATATGAAAGATAACACAAAATCTAAAATAAATTAAAAATCCAAGATAAAAAACAACAAAATTAACTCAAATAACACCATCTAACCTAATTTGAGGGTTTTCTACAACTCAATTGGTTACTACCCTTCTTATAAAATTAAAAACTTATGAACTTTTTTCATAAGTTCATAACTTATAAAATTAAAAACCTAATTTGAGGGTTTTCTACAAGTCAATTGGTTACTACTCTTATAAAATTAAAAACCTAATTTGAGGGTCTTCTACAACTCAATTGGTTACTACTTTTGGGATTAAGGGGTTTGCTTCCTCTGTGGTCTTAGGTTCGAGTTCTTGGTTGCTCATATGATGGCCACTAAAGGCTTACATGGTCGTTAACTTCAGAGCCCGTAAAATTAATAGTGATGCGCGCAAGCTGACCTATATACCCACGTTAATCTAAAAAAATAAAAACTTATGAACTTTTTTCATCAGCCTATTCATTTAGTGCTTAGTTTAGAAACGAACGAGTCTGCAAAGCCTACAAATGACAAATCCATAACTCACTGCTCAGGCCTATAATATTCTACGCCGACATCAAGTTGGCGACATGAGGCCTCATTTCCTTGCTCACACGTGGTCTAAGTTAGCTTCTGGTCACCACTTTATTAGCCCTTTTTCTATTAATTACTAATAATGAACCACTAATCTATCACACAAACCTGTTTAAGAGTAGAATAATGCTAAAGAGAAAGCGAAAACACACAATCTATGCATAGTGACTAGTGTTTCTTTAAATTCTTTAGGTAAATAAAAAGAAAGAGAAGAAAAGAGAGAGCAATGTACCTTAGACCACAGAAAATTAATAACCTAACGTTCAAGTCTTAACTACTTGAATTGTCCCATTTGAATATTCAGTGCTTCTGTAATTTGCTTGATTAAATTAAATGCAAGAGTCTTCCTCAATAGAAAAGGAACATAATATTTTTTATAAATAAATTTTGCTTGAGTCCTTGTTTTACAAACGGAGGAAGTAAGACAAATTCAAAGTACACGCTCGATAGGAAAGCCATGCACCCATCACATCGTAGAAGCATATATTTTCAAAGTTTTTTTCTTTTTTTCGCTCGCATGTTTCGGAAAGGTATTCTTACGAAAGAACTGGGATTCAAGAAAGCAACAACGGTCAAGCTGGCCCTAAAACCATGCAGGAAAAGACCCGAAATCAGTCGGTGGAGACATGGACACGCTTGTGTATGAAAGTGTGCATAAATAGTCAGACATGAATTTGATAAAATATGCAGTGGCAAGTTTGAGTAAGAAATGGTTTATTGATTGATATTAATTTTTTTTTATCAACAAGTAAGAAATGGCTCCAACAAATGACAGGAGTATGTTATATATTTCATATATCAATAGAAAATAATATAAATTGAAATATCAATCGGTGGAGACATAGACATTCAAAATCAATTTTAAATATTAGCTTATACATGAAAAATTCTTACTTAAGAAAATATATTAAAATATAATATAAATTATATCTGATAAATCATCTTGATTGACATTAATTATGACTTCAATGTGGTCAGATGTTCTGTTGAAGCACGACCATCATAAGGTTGTTTTGCAAGCTACCAAGCAGGTCCCAAGCAACTACAGTTGAAAAGGACAGGAATGGAAGAGCTAGGTTCCCTGTTTGAAAGTTACAACGACGACACATTTGAAGTCATGAGTCATGACACAAGCATCAAAGTTGCCTGTGTATGCATGCTTTGAGACATTTCATTTTTCAAAGGTCTTTGGTTGTAATTCTTTGTTCTTTATAATTTTAGTTTCTCTTGACTTGTGATTCAAAATCTGATCATGTAGGAACGAAGACTCACTATTATATCCAATGACATGGACATTCTTTCAGTGTAGGTTCATCCTGTGTAGGTGACCAAGTTATTGACTCTAGCTAGTTTTTTCAACTTCATACGTATAGTCAAGTAAATGATGTGGGCTAGCTGATCACCTTAAATAGGGTGAGATTTCCCGTTGCTATCAAGATTCTTACCACCATACAGAGGAAAGGAGAATTCTTCCACCTCGAAGGCATAATGGTGCAAGACACATTTGTTAGGAGTGAAGGGATTTGCGATGTTATTGATCCCATTCAAGAGCAGAAAGAAACTGAGTTGTTTCAAGCTCAAACTCATTTGTATGGCCAAATGTTCAATTACTTAAATTCCATGTCACTAGTGTGTGCAGCTCAGCTGGGCATACCAGACATAATCCACAACCATGGCAGCCCCATCACTCTCCCTGAATTGGTTTCAGCACTTCACATTCCACCAAACAAAACTAGTTGCATATACCGGCTCATGCGCATGTTGGTGCACTCAGGCTTCTTTGCCACCACAAGAGCTGCTAATGGTCAAGGAGAAGGGGAAGAAGAAGCTTATGTTCTAACACCACCTTCCCAGCTACTTGTCAAAGATAACACCAATTGCTTGTCACCGTTTATGTCATTGATTAATCCAGCATTTGTGACACCATGGCATTCCTTGGGAGATTGGTTTCGAGGGAGTGAGCCAACTGCATTTCAGCAGGCATATGGAATGGCGTTTTGGGAATACAATAACCAAAATCCTGAACTCAATTGCCTTTTTAATGCAGCAATGGCCTGTGATTCTCAGATGATGAACTTGGTTATTAGAGACTGTAAGCCAATTTTTGAGGGGTTGGATTCAATGGTTGATGTAGGAGGAGGTACTGGATCACTTGCCAGGATCATATCCGAGACATTCCCTCATATGAAGTGCACAGTACTTGAGACTCCACAAGTCATTGCCAACTTGGAAGGCACTGAGAACTTGAAATATGTTGGAGGAGATATGTTTCAGCATATCCCTTCTGCAGATGCCGTCTTACTTAAGGTATATGCTGCTCTCTACACTCAAACACTACTCTTCCATCTATGAATTTGATTATTGGATCATGTTTATTATATTGCATAAACATTTAAATGTATCCAACGTTCTCAGTCGGCTCATTATGCTGAATCAATTTTTGGCAGTTAATTTTTCACGGTTGGAGTGATGAGGATTGTGTGAAGATACTGAAGAAATGCAAAGAAGCTATTTCAAGCAAAGAAAAGGGAGGAAAGGTGATTATCGTAGACGTGGTGATAAATAAGAAGAAAGATGAGCATGAATTAACCGAAACGAAGCTCCTCTTTGACATGCTGATGATGGTTGTGGCTGCTGGAAAAGAGAGAAGTGTCGAAGAATGGGAAAGGCTGTTCTTGGAGGCTGGTTTCAGTCACTACAAGATTACATCCTTATTTGGTCTAAGGTCCCTAATTGAAGTTTATCCTTAGGCCGAAGAAACTATGTATTGTAAACTATATAGCTAGTATGATTGCTGAATAAATTTATGTATCCTGCTTGAGAAGTTGTTGTGATGGCACTAGTCCAAGCACCAACCTTCTATGTTGATTTATTAAGCATTAATTGAAAGATTAATCGAATCACTCAAACTCGAGCTTGCAAGGCTTGTTCATGGTGTTAAGAATTATGTATGACTCTGGCATTAAATTATAATGACCAACCTAAAACTACAAGGGAAATGATTTAAGCATTAACAGTGTCCTGTTAATGAATAGCGGAGGAATTCAGTGTAAAAATATTTTATTGGAAAATATTTTTAAAATTTTTACTGAAGTAAAATATTTTAGTGAAAAATTGATCAATGTTGCAATTAATATTTAAATTTGATTTATTTATTAAAAAATGTTTTCAATTTATAAAATTTATATAATATTTTATAAATAATAATTCACTTATAATATCATAAAATTAATTCAACCATTACCTCTATCTCACCAACACTACATCTCTTTTATTTTTTTTGTTATTATAATGATCACCTAACCACCATCTCCTCTCCCATCACAGCCATATCACCACACCTCATCCTCCTACACCACTATAATCACTCCACAACCACCTAACCATCTCCACAACAATAATCACTTTATCACTATTTTTTTTTTAATTAACAACACAATCAGTTTACCATCTCCTTCATCATTATCATGAACGTATCACAACTATCTTTATTGTTATATTATTATTATTATTATTATTATTATAACTATTATCAGTTGCACCACCTTGATTTTTTTAAATAAATATATTGTCGTTTATAGAAAAATATACTTGTATTTAGCAGTCCCGTATGTCACAAATATTAAGATGCTGTTATGTCAGAGGAAAAGGCCAGCATTGTGTCCATTGCTTCTCTTTATTGTATTTTGACCAACCCCACAACAGAAACTTTTACCATTAAAAACACAGTTAGCTAAAGATTTCTGTCTTTAGTCCTGATCTGGTTATGGCTAAAGAGAACAAAATAGACCTCTCATCCAATGGCCTTGAACTTAATCATGAAAGTTCGAAGAGGTGATGCAACAATGAGTAGATGAACATTAGACTTAACGGGGTGGTGAAATGAGTGAAATTCAAGTTTCTTTTTAGATCTGCAACGAAACTGAGTGCACAGACCAGTTTCCTACTTGGAGATTACAAAGAATTATCCTCATAATACAAAACCTCATCGGAATTTTGGGACTCAACTCAATGCTAGTCAACCTAGTGCAACCCTGAATATATTTTCCACCGAACATCTGTAATTTTTGGTTACTTGGTCCAGGACTAATCCTTTGTTGCATCTCAGAAGATATCATCATCAATGGGAAATGAGACTCCACACCACAAGCCCCACGCTACAAGTAACGTTTGCAGTCAAATCCTGCAGCTCTAAGAAATCAACAAGATCATGGAAACTCCAGTATTTGAATAAAGAAACGTTCTCAACCAATTCTTCATGTATAACTAGTAACACGGAAGTCGGTAAAAAACATGGCTTGTTGAATGATTATTCCTTGTTTTTTATTCTTGCTTGCGTCTTGATTGAAGCCAAGTTATCAAATAAAACCTGTTTTATTGAAGCCTAAATTGTGGACTTTGCAAAACACGTTTTATACGGGAACTATAAGATTGTGGTCTTGTTACGTCTATCACAAGTGATTCTTCCTGAGAAGATTTTATTAAACATCCTTTATATATTTAGAATGATAAAAATACTAGATCAAGGGAACAAGAAATTAACTCCATGATTTCAGTCTTTGATCTGGTCAGTCAAGAGCCATTTCTTAAGCTCAACCTACCCTTTGTATTCTACTTTTTCCTTTTTCTACGCCTATTTTTTTAAACTACCTAGCAATATCCAACTGTCAAGTTCGTTTAGCGGTCTTAATTGTTCAAGTGGTGGTTTCTGACACAATGAAATTTCCTCGTTAGCCTATCATCCACGTGATGCACAGTGCAAGAGTGCCCAAGACTGCATTATAAGAACCAACCGCGTCAGAATGTTTTGAGAGCAAATAAGGTAGAGACCTGCAAACAAAGATGGATGTAGATCAAGGACATGGAGTCAGTGAGCTATTTAAGGCTCAATGTCACCTTTATAAACATATCTACTACTTCATAGAATCCATGTCACTAAAATGTGCTGTTCAGCTTGGCATACCTGATTTGATCCAAAAAAATAACCAGCCCATTACCCTTCAACAGTTGGTTTCAGCCCTAAATTTTCCTGAATCAAGAGCAAATTTCCTGCAGCGCCTTATGCGCGTACTGGTGCATTCCGGTATCTTTGATACAATCAAAATCCATGATAACCAAGAAGAAGTCGAAGAAGGTTATGTTCTCACTTCTTCTTCTAAGCTCCTGCTCAAAGATAGCCCCACCAGCCTGTCCCCAGTTGTTCTCACAATGCTAGATCCTGTGTTGATGAATCCATGGTTTTCTCTAGGCGAGTGGATCCAAGGGAAGGAGCGCACACCATTTGAAACTTACCATGGAATGAGCTTTGGGGAATATGGGAAGAGAAACTTCAAATTTATCAACAACTTGAATGAAGGAATGGCTAGTGATTCCAAACTGGTGAGTTTGGTTGTTAAAGAGCATAAGGAAATTTTCGAGTCAGTGGATTCACTGGTTGATGTAGGGGGTGGCACTGGAACTCTTGCTAGGAGCATAGCTGATGCATACCCTCATATGAAATGCACAGTCTTGGACCTCCCACAAGTTGTTGCCAACCTACCAGAAAGTGAAAACTTGAAATTTGTTGGAGGTGACATGTTCAAGTCCATCCCTTCTGCAGATGCAATTATCATCAAGGTATAATAAATGCCAATTTTTTCAATGTCATTATTTGGTTCTTAATTTGATCAATGAACATTAATTGAGAGTATTGAAGTTTGAAAATATTATTATGGTATAAAATCTTTGAAGGACAAGTGGGGAAATTAAAACCGTTCTCATCTCTTCAGTTTTCTTCTTGAAATTGAACTCTTTGCAGTCTGTTTTGCTTAACTGGAGTGATGAGGACTGCATAATGATATTGAAGCGATGCAGAGAAGCAATCCCAAGCAAAGATGATGGAGGAAAACTTGTGCTCATAGAAATGGTGATTAACGACCAGAAAGATGAACAGGAACTGACCAAAACAAGGCTCTTTGTTGACATGGAAATGATGCTCTTATGCAACGGAAGGGGAAGAAATGAGATAGAATGGAAGAAACTCTTCCTGGAGGCTGGCTTTAGTCACTACAAAATCACAGCCACTTCTGGGTTAAATTCTATTTTTGAGGTGTATCCTTGAGTAGTAGTATCGAACTCGGGATGTTATTTTCTCCTTTTCTACATGAATGTGTTCTAGTTTGTGTAATTTTAGCTCTGAAATGCCATGATCTCTGTGGCCTAGGACCTTTATATCTCTGGGTTCCTACTTAATATTTACAGCACGATACAATAAGGCATCCAAGATAACTTTGATAAGGCTATGTGTTACTGTCTCATTCTCAATTATTGTCACATAAACCGGAAAGCAGTGGCTAAACAGCTTTTATTTTCTTATTCGGTTAATGTTTTGTCTCATCATCTTGTCTAGCTTAAGACAATGGGAACTTTTGATTTTGCGTGTCTACAGAAATACCTACTTCTTAATCAAATTACCGTAGTTTCCTTATCTTAAAAGTCACAGAATTGCAAGAGGAATGAGTTAAAATTAACAAAATTCGTTGCTGCTTATGACTTACCAAAAATACGTGACTCCATCACAGCTAACTCGCTTACATCAGTCATCCGTGAAAGAAAGAAAACTGAAAATATTCTTATCAATGCCTAGATGAATTATTCCGACAACTTCTGCATGACTGGAAAAACAAAGATTAATTAAAGATACCGAAGAAACGATGGAGAGAAACTATGTCCAGTATAGATGAGGGAGGGAAGTTGACCACCATAAACTTAGAGATAAATGATAAGAAACAGATGTAGATGACTAATTAAAAATTATGGCTTAGATTCTATTTTATTAGAAGATAATTAGAAAAACAAGAAAGAGTAGCTTAATCCATTTTCTTGGATGCTGGTTTAATTGTCCAAGACTCCAAGGCATATTGGATATCCTCTTGGCAGTTACTCTTCAACAAATAGCATTTCTTTAAGCATTCTCCAACTCGTGACGCTAATGATCTGTCTACTTGGCCATGTGAGTGGGAAATAAAAGATTGCACGTTCTCATATGAAACAACATCAATAAAAGCTGGATGGATCTTTAAATTTAAACTTGTATTTAAATGGAGTGGTACAGAAATTCAAACTAAGAATGCTAAGCATAGATTTCCATAAGGAGTACCTTGATTTGGTCTTAGTTCCCAGTGGGCTTCTGATCATGTTTGCCTATCATCTGTTCCTTCTTTACAGATACCGCAAACATCCTGGCACTACTATCTTTGACCTAGAGAACGAGGACAAGAAACTTTGGGTTCAAAGAGTTCTGCAGGTCAGAGTCTCTCCCTCTTGTTTCCCTACTTTCCTTAGACCAAATTAGTTTATTTCTTATTGTTCTTTGGTGTGTGCAGGGTGCTGAAAGTGATATTAACAGAGCTGTAAATGTGATTTCGAGCGACACGAACATAGCGACTTACTTAGCCACCGTCTCTTTGACTCTCAGTTCTCTTATTGGAACTTGGCTTGGAAGTAGTTCTAATAATAATATCTTTGAAAGCAAGAGAATTTACGGTGACACAAGGCCATTCACCATTTTCATCAAGAACGTATGCCTCCTCGTCGCTTTTCTTATTGCTTTTTCTTGTTTTGTTCAAGCAGCAAAGAATTTGGTTCATGCAAATTATTTAATGAGCTCCCCAGACAAGAAAAGGGCAGCGAAGAAAATTGAGTTTGCGGTTAAGAAAGGAGGTGAACTTTCCTTTTTCGGGCTCAGAGCTCTTTACTTTGCTCTTAACATGCTCCTTTGGTTTTTCGGTCCAATACCCATGTTTGTTGCCTCTATTGTTATGGTGATAGTCCTCTATTACCATGACATTCATTCAGTTTTATTGCATGATCTCTATTGTGAGCTACATTGTCAGAA